CACATTTTACACTGTAACCTAGGACAAACACAGATTGTCAACTGCAGTAAAATGTAGTCGTATTGTGAGAACATTTTTCAAAAGAGTTAACAGCAGGGCTTTTTTGTTTTATTTTTGTTACTGGAGCTTCATTACATATAATCATTCCTTTGCTGCTCATGCTGATATTAGATGGAACAACAGAGTAGATTCTTAAATGCATTTTAGATTAATTTGTCTGAATTGTTAAACTGCGAGCAACACCTTTATCTTGAAATACAACTTAGGCTTTTGAAATACAACTTAGGCTTTTATCTTTATCTTTTCTTGCTCTTTATTTTTTCCTTGCAAAATTTTTGTCAATATTCTTGTAAGCCTTGTCAACCTTAATTTCAGAAAGCTGTCACTCTTAATAGTACATAGGCAACACTAGTGAGAAGTACCGTTGTTTTGAAGAATATTCAGGTGTTGTATTTGAGCATTGAACACAGAGAGCAGTTCAAAATATTAACTTGATGACCTCATACTGTTATGTAAAGAAATATGTGCATAATTGAAACCTGTGTCTTCCATAGATTGGAAGTCCTAGACCAGGACTATCCAAGTTTGGACAAAACTAGTCCAGTTTGCTATCAGAAAAAATGGAGATATATTCCTGCTTGCTTAAATGGATGTGTGCTGTGGATGCTAAAACAAACTCAAGCTATTAAGGACCTAGGATCTAATATGGAGGACCACTAATCACAATGAACAACTTTTTCTTTTTCTATTGCACTAAGCAAGTGTTCAAAGAAGCCACCATTAGTGGCCGACCTAGTTTAAGAAGTGAGTTTCTGTCTCTAGAAGGGACCACAGCAATCCCTGCTGCCTGTGTACTTGAAAAAAGAATGATGCAGGTTTATCTTTTGTTCTATGCACACACAGGTTTTAATGTAACAGCACCTTTTACATTAGTTCTGTTTTTCCTTTGCTTTCAGGAATCTCCTTCTGGACGCAGAAAAGCACTTGCCACCAGCAGCATCAACATGAAGCAATATGCAAGTCCCATGCCTACACAGACAGATGTCAAGTTAAAATTCAAGCCTTTGTCTAAGAAAGTGGTATCTGCCACACTACAGTTCTCTTTATCTTGTATTTTCCTGAGGGAAGGAAAAGCCACGTAAGTTGTTGGTTTTTTGGTGTTGTTTTTTTGTTTTTTTTTTTTAAACCAGATAGCCTGCTTTGTGTTGCTTTTCACAGAATTCTTTGGATAAAGAGCTCTTTCTGTGTAGAATGGCACAATTTGAGAGTATCCTTCAGCATACCTATCATTCCTGCCATACTTAGTTTCCTAGCTGAGTGAAAGTAATTTCTTGCTCTGATTTTACTCTTGTGTCCTTCAGAGACAAACAGCTTGTCCTTTACTGTTATAGACATTTTAAGTAACAGCAGCTTAAAAATATCTACAGGTCTAAAATCAGCACGAGTGTATATTTGTGTGCGTGTATGTTCATCCAACAATACCCTTGGTAGGCTGCAAGCGAAATGTGGGAAGAAGTACTTATTTCTATTTCACGTATTTATATTTCACAAAGAATGAAAGAAGGACAAAGCCAATTGTAAGGGGAGAGGGGGTGGGGTCAGAAGTAAGATTCTGGATTGAACACAAGAACATCTGTGAAAAGAGTTCGATTGGGCACTGATTACTACTCCCTTTACTCACTCACTTGGTTCTGTCGCTTATTTCAACAGCCTTTGGAGGGCAGAGGATACAGATTATTTTTGCAGACCCTATAACCTCTCCTACAATTTCTGCCAGATTCAAGATGTCAGATATTGACAACTTTGTGTGGCTGGAGGATGGATCATTTGTCACCTATCCTGTTTTGCTTTTCCTTTCTGTCTCTAGAATATGAGAATGGCAGAACACAAAGAGGTATATGGGGGAAGCTACTGCTCTACTGGTTCTTTTACCTCTTCTTAAAATTCCTTTTCCTTCCAAAAGACTCACAGTTTACTTCTGGCTTTGAGGGTTCTTGAATACACTTGTTGACATTGCCCACTGCAATACAAGTGCCCCAAAACTGTGGCATGAACGACTTTCCAGACTGCTGTGTTAAGGCATATATTTTGACACAAAAAGGCTTTTTTGTCTGCATGCATTGAAAGCCACAGATGCATTAATTACTATGAATTACTGTTACTGTTTCCCTTCTCTGAATAACCTCTTGTGAACCACATTTTGACATACTGCGTAAGAATGATTTTTTGAAAGTATTTAGCTGTAGTATTGCAGCTGAAAACGGGAATGAAAAAGTCGGTATCTGATAACCTCACAACTTCTTTTGGAACAACCAGCATCCATGAACTATACACTAAATAGCTATACTAGGCTCTTAGGGGTTGTTGAGGCCATAATTTGTAAAAGTTGATCTATTTAGGATCACGTATACCTTCTTCCCATAGAAATCAATAGGTTTCAGGCTGAAGACTGTAGGTTAGCTGGATTGTAAGTTAACAATAGGGCTTTAATATTGCCCTGAACCAGGGACCTGAAAAAAAAAAAAGCTGCTGTTTGTGAAAGCATTATTTTCCAGTATGTGTAAATAGAGACTATCTTACTAGTCAAAATAAAAGAGAGAATTCAAGTGTCAAGTACATGAATGTGCAAGAAAAGGTAGCTAGGCCAAGGCTTGCTTATATCTCTTGCAAACTGTTGTGGTTCCATAAAGTGAGATTCACTTTTAATCTTATGTGTTTTATAAAGAAAATACTGCAACCTGTTGCTATGCAGTATGAAAAATCACCTTATTTCTAAGGCACAGAAAAAATATTATAAAGTATGAAAACAGAAAGGACAGTAAAAAGAAATAGTACCTTGGAGACCTTTTAATTTCTAAACTTCATGTGAACATGTGTTATACAAGATCTGTATGCTAACAGCTTTTTGTCTTCGATGCATAAAAGAGCCTGCCCGTTAATGCAGTTATAAAATGCTGCATTTTTTTCCCCTGTGTTAAAAGAGTTGATTTAACCTATTAGTTGTCAAAAGAGGAAGATGAAACCTTGAGGATTCTGCATGAATGGAAAGGTCTTTGAGTTCCTGACAGTTACTTATTTTATATTTATTATTATTAATACTTTAATACCACAAATACTTAGTTGTCCTATGTAACTGCGGGTTCTGTAGTGCTGATTACTTTGAACTCACACAGTAGGAAACCATTGCCCCAAAGAGTTTCTGATTTTAACCTCCAGTTAAATCACTGAGTTTAATCCCATGTTTTAAGTGCCTCAGTATTCCTGTGCAGATCTGAGGCATGATTAGTACGTCATTTTCATTCCTGTAATTGGTACCTTTAAAATAATTTGTATAGTTTTCTTGGTGTTGTTAGGCACAAAAGCTGTGTGTCTGGTTTTATCACGGTCAGCTTCAAAGAAGATGGAGTAATTCATGTTGGAAGGGACCTGTAGAGATACCTAGTCCAGCATCCTGCTTAAAGCAGTCAGCCATGTGATCAGACCAGTTTCCTCTGGGCTTTATCCCACTGGGGCTTGAAAACACCCAAGAATGGAGACTGCACAGCCTCTCTGGGCAACCCATCCCACCACTTGTTGATGATGTTCCAATTTTTTTCTCACATCAGATCAGAACGTCTCTGCTTTCAATCTATGTCCACTGTCTCTCATCCTTCTGCCTTGCAACACTGTCTTCTCAGCAATGATGACAGGCTGCTGCTAGGTCCTCCTGAAGCCATCTCTTCTCCAGGCTCAACAAGTCCATTTCGCTCAGCCTCTCTTTGTAGGGCAGGTGCTCCAGCCCCCAACCATCTCAGTGACCCTCTGCTAACCTTGTTCCAGTTTATCAGCACCTTTACCTGTACTGTGGGAGCCAACGCTGGACAAGGCACCCTAGATGCAGTCCAACGACTCCAAGTAAATGGGGATCATGACTTACCTCAGTCTACTGCTTGTGGTCCTGTTTTAATGCATCTCAGGATGCTTTTGCCTCCTTTGTCTGCCAGGGCATGGTGCTGGCTCTCCTTGAGCTTGCTCTCTGCCAAGATCCCCAGACTGTTTTCAGCAGAGATGATCTCTAGCCATGCAATCTCCAGTCTGTCTTGTTGTAAGGAGCCAAAAAAAAATAAATTCATTAGTCTCAATAAACCTATTGCAAAGGTTTTAAAAGAGGTAAGACTGGTGTTGCTTCAAGAATGACACCATATACTTCAAAAATCTTGGGTTTTGTATGAAACAAATGTAGAAGATCCATTTCTCTGATTCTTTGCCTGCTGTCATATTTTCATCAAATGTATTTGATATGAAAGGCACAGTTATGTGAAAGATAGATAAATAGATATATCTATATATCTATACATAGATATAGATATAGATGCGATACAGTCAAATAAGAATTGATATTGGCCATTGATATGTAATGGATTTTTTTCTTGTTAATAAATTCAGATATTTAGAGAAGAGATTTTCATTTCCATAGCGGTGTCAGGCATTCTGAATGAACACAGTGGTAGGTGTCACATGCAGCATTTGGACAGTAGGTCTGACCAAGCATTTGCTCTTTAACCAAAGACGACCAGATAAGTGTTTACTAGCATTTCTGGACTGGTTGAAAATTTTAAGCAGCAGTCATTAAATTGACTCTTAATGCAAGGCAGCACTGGTTTTACCGTTTAGAGTTCTGTTAATAGAAAACTTTGCCTTCAGAAGTTGATGCGCGTGAGTGTATTCATTTTGTTCTTTCACTATATTCAAAGTCAGATCTCATATCAGAGACTTCCCTGAAGAAAGCATTAAAATGTTTAAAGGATTTTTAATAGTGCAATAGTATGAACAGGCTGCATTTTAATGCCTCGTTTGGCATTTGTTATGTAGGGATGAAGACATGCAAAGCCTGGCTAGTTTGATGAGTATGAAACAAGCTGATATTGGAAATCTAGATGATTTTGAGGAAGACAATGAAGAAGACGAAGAAAACAGAGTGAATCAAGAGGAAAAGGCTGCAAAAATTACAGGTTGGTTTTGCCGCAGGGATGGTAAAATACAGTTCCTTTGCTAATTGCCAGCTGTGTTCTGTGGATTTTATCTTTATGTTATATTTGTACTTCACAGTAAAAGAATCCAAACCAAAGCAAAATTTAAGATAGTTTGATTGAAGAGGGACCCATCCATAACTCAACTAAGTTTAATATTTGTGAATTCAAGAGGATTGATTTGTGTGTGTGTGCGTCCATGTCCTGTTTTTAAGAGAGAATGCACTCAGTAAGTAGCATTTTAGGGAAGCAAATAACCAGTGTGAACCAGAGGAGTGAAAAGATGGAGGGAAAGGGTCAGTGAGCAAGAAGGCAAGAGGATGAGCTGAAGTGAAATAATGAAGACAGTTTGTGAGAATAACTGCAAAATGAGTTGTGCCGTGGGTACGTGCTGAGGTTCTGCTCAATAACATGGTAATTCCAGGCAGCATACTTCTTTCTGCCTTTTGGTTGGGGATGTCTCATGGAAATGAAATGAGGAGGCTGTTAAAGGACTTCAGATGGCATTTGATAGTAAGGTTGTTTGAAGTGAGATATTAATACCACATTTGAATTGCTGATGAAAATGCTTGGTGTCCAGAATAGCTGAACTAATCAATGCAAGTGGGATCAGGACATGATGATGTTAAATTATTGGTAGAGATCATTTTGTAGTACTGCTCCAGATGAGTTCTGTAGGAACTCTTAGCATAAAAGAATCAGGAAAAGACAAATTAACTTTTGGTGGCATCCTTCATACCTGCTAGTGCTCTTTAAAAATGTCTGTTGAAATAAAGGGATCCTTCTCCAAGATGGGGAGGAGTATCCCATGCAGAGAAGTGAATTGTTAAATCTGTTCTTGAAAAAACAGAGGAACGTTGGTTTGGTGTTACAAAACATTACTTTCATTGCTTCTTTTCGAGCTTTTGTTTCAGTCAAAAGGTTTAGCATGAAGCAGTTATTGCTTAGTTATGTTTAGTGTTGTGAAAGGTTGCAAGTATGTTTTGTCTATGTTTTATATATTCAATTAAACATTTTGTACCCTGACCAAATGTCTACTTATGCTCTATGTATCTGGCACAGAGCACATTGGAAGGGCCAGAATGAAGTATTTGAGAGACAGAGATAATGTGGTCTTGGTCAGGGAGCAGAGTCTGGTCACATTTAAGTCATTCTGCAGGGTCATTTTCTCCTTTACCAGTGTAACCAGAATAATTCAGGTGCGGGTCAGAACACCAAACAAACCCTGATATGTTCATCAGGCCATCCAGTAATCACAGAGAAGGGCACATAAAGGAGAGGCTATGTAATATATAAACTATTGTGCAGAAGTGTTTTATCAAGTTATGCCTAGATACTGCACTGAGGACTGTTACAGAAAACCTACGTGCAGAAGGACAATAGCTGAAAAGCAGCAGATCTTGTTCCTCGACTTCTATTTTGCAGCGTTCAGAGTGTAAACAAAGCAACAAATGGTTCCTGAGCAAGCAAAAAGCTGATGTAGACTTGACTAATCTGTCCACTGTCCTCTGGCTATATGGTGAACATCCCTGGAGATAGATGGAGAATGGTGAGCTGTCTGATATGCAGCACAAGGTCCTAGCTAGAGTTGTCTGAGGCATTTCAGCTTTTCTATCTGTTGTAGAGACCAAAATTATCTGTTCTGAGCAAACATTACAATACCTACTCGAAAGGCAGAAGCAATAAATACTTCTGAACTATACTATATTTGCTCATTGTTCAGCCTGTTCTGATGCTGTTTTCTAATGATACAAGATGGGAGGGTTGGGTTGGGTTTTTTGTAGATACGTCGTTAAGGGAACCTGAGAGGCGGGGAAAGGTCAGCCTTGGATTTTTGAGTCTTGTGTTCACTGCAACACCTGAGTTACTTTTTTAGCCTGGCTAACTTTTCCCATGTTAGACAAGGAGAGGGGTGAGAGGGATGTTGACAGAGAATGAGTACATGTAGTTTCCCAAGCAAATGGGAGAACATAAAACATAGGGCAGTAAGTAAACATTAATAAATAAAATGTAAAGGACCTATTCCAACATGTGTTCAAGACTGATTACATTAGCAGTTGGAGTGACTCCTGTAATAAATATAATGAATGGGAAAAACTAATAAAACACAAGGACAAGAGCTGAGGAACCAAGGGAGAAAGAGGTAGGAATAATTATAGAAAAGCAGGAAGAAATCTCAAAAGAAGAAAATGGAACAAAACTGATGAAGTACTCTTTCTAAAATTTCTTTCAAAAAGAATTGTGTTCACAGAATCCCATAAAGTTAATTGAGGAAGTTACATAACCCTTTTGAAAGCTTGCTGCTCCCAACATTTTCTCATCTGTTGCCATGTTAGGGTGTTGGCAGCCGAGCGAGCTGGAATGCCTTCACTGACTCAGAGTCCCCTGCGGCAAATCACTTCGCCTTGGTGTGCCTGTTTTCCCAACTGTAAAATGGGGATACTGGCTATAACTACTTCACAGGAACGATGGGAGTATTACCTGGTTAATGTTTGTAAGCGAGCTTTGAAAAAGTAAAGTGCAAGTAGTAAAGCAGAAGGGATTATTATCCTCCTTTTGACTCAAGGTCTTCTCGCAGAAATGTTGGATGACTTGATGACTAAAATGTTATTCTCAAGCCACAGCTGCAACAGGTGCTGTGAGTCTTTATCACAGACGCTGTTCCTTTTTGCAGTGTACAAAAGTTAATTTTTTCATTGGGCCCAAAGTTACAGTTTTATAGATGAACAAATTTATCCACCTCTAGGAGAACAAAGGAGACCTGCTCTAACCTGCCCTCATCTGGGGCTCTAGATGGTGCAGGCGAGTTAGGAAATGCTGCTTCTCTTGGTGTGTTGCCTCACTTTGGGTAAGTATCTGTACCTCTTGTTTCTTCAGGTATGAAGTAAGTGGTGCAATACTGACCTGCCTCAAAAGCATTGTGGAATTTGTTGTGGTCAATGTGCGAGCTGTTGCAATATAACTGTCCTTGAGATCAGACTGAAAGATGTTTTCCATTCAAAGCACTAGTTTAATTTTAAAAAAGCACTACTTTAATTTAAAAAAAGTCTCCCTCCATCTCAGGCTTTTCCTCCTTCCTTCCCAATATTTCTTGTTTAAATTTTTCATGTGTAAAAGCTGTATCCCCACCTAACTGTTCTGTTTTGTCTGAAGTTGAAAATTATGTTTGTAGCCACGAAATACATTTCAAATATTTTGTTTCTACACTATTAATATGGATGAATTTAAACCTCCCAGTATTATCCTATCCTTAGTCTTCAGTTGAAGACAACGCATCACAACATACTTGAAGAAACGTAGCTCATAATTCACAAACCTAGGGTAGTAATAAATACATTGCTTCTCTTAATGTTTTAATTGATACTTAGAGCCTCATGCTGATTAATAGTTGCCTCCTGCTCCATCTGCACAGGAGCACGGTGACTGTCCTGGAGTGCCACATGGACTCAGCAACGTGCCCATGTGCTACCTGTTGCAGGAGTCTGAATCCCAGCATATTTCAAGAGCAGGCTTCTGGAGACCAATATGTGTAACCCTTTCTTGCCATTTGCAAAACCATACCTCTCATGTAAACTTGTGGTACGTTTATTCTTTCTTTTGTCAGTAGCAAGCTCCTTAAAAAAAAAAAAAAAAAAAAAAAAAGGCAAGAGAAAAGAATGAAAAAAATCCCTAACAAACCAAACCAGTGATTTATATGACATACTTGTAGAACAAGCTAACATACGTTTGTAGATGAGATTTATAAAAGATAATATAGGACATAAATCTCCAACCTACCATTTCCACCCTCCAAAATATGACATAAACCATTTCATATTGTAATAAGAAACATTGTAGTGCATATGGGTGTTTAGGTTGGCAGATGGGACCAAGTGATTCAGACCACATCAAAGAATTCCCTCTTTTTAAAGCTCTGAACTTAATTTGTTATTTTCTGACAATAAAAACTGAATTGTAATTGGTTTGGGTTTTGTTTTTTTTTTTTTCACATGCTGGCATAATAAATTGTAAATCGTGTCAGCAACTCAGCCTGTTTTAAACTAGTGGTTCATTTGTACTAGTGTTTTATAAGGTCAGCTGTTTTATTTGAGTACAGGAAGATATTTTCCATGGTGTATAGGTAGTATTATATTGTTCAGATCTCTAAGGTGTATATATGATTTAATACTGAGAATGTTAAGAGTTTTGGAGCAGTTTTGGTGTTATTTTTTAGTCTTGTTTGAGTTAAAAATAAGGAAGTGAGGATGATGAAATTAATTCTGTGTAGATAGATACAAATGTGATCCCATGTAAGCAGATTTTTGCTTTAAGGTCAAGAACAGTTAGGAGGTGCAGTTAAGAGGAATTCTGCTGTGACTTTGTCATATGAGAAAAAATCAAGTTCAAAACCACAACGAACTAAAAGCGTTTCGAAAAAGTAACTTCTTGTGGACGTGAGAAATTGGAGTTTAAAGAAAATCCGAGAATGATTGGCACAAGAAGTGTGTACAGGCATCTATGTAGCTTTAACTTCACTGATGACACCAGAAAACTTCATCCATTTATTTTATTGGGAAAAGACAGGAGATGACCAGGTGACCGTGATCACCTGTCAGAGAGGTGATGATACTCAACAAGCAGGATCATCTCTCCTGCAGTTTTCTCCTGCCTGTAAAAAGTTGGTTTCTGTTTCTTTCTTTCCTTCCAGAATTATGGAGGCTTCAATGTCTTGGCTAGAATTAAACATTAATACAGTTTAAAAATTATTAGTTCATCGCATTTCAGAGCTCTCCACTATGGATGTCAGGTGGTATAGGCTTTTGCCAAACAGTAAGGTGTTACCTGCGTAGCATTACAGTGGCAAATTCAACAAATATATACGCATTCACTGTGCATTCTCATAGCACAATACTGATCATATCTTTTAGAACTATTAGATAGGTGCAACTTGTAGGTCAGAATTTAACGGTGACTGGTTGTAAATGTTAAATAATCAGAGTGTGTGTGTATAAATAAATTATACATAAAATGCATGCGTATGTATTAGTTTTCTGTAGCCTTAAGGGTTTGGGAGGTAAATTGTTCTGGGGCTGTTATGTGTTGATTGACAATGGGCTAAAATTCAGGTTTTGTTCATGAGCAGGAAAAGTCTTTTATCTACTACATCTAAATTTTAAACTGGTGCGCGTACTCATCCTCATAAAACTAATTACTGTTGCTGACACCAGGAATCTGGCAAGGTTTTGTTTATGTCTGTTAACTGGGTTTCTTGTTAAACTGTCACAGAACACCGACACAGGTGCTTTGCTGTGGGTATATCACTGTAAGGACTCGTTCTAAATGTATTCTTTTAATTAATTCTCAGTGTCTTCTCTTTTACCCTTTCTCTCCCTCCTCCTCTCTCTTTCTAGTAACAGTGTTCGTTCCACTTCTGTTTCATTAAATTCCCTTGCCTTACGTTTGTCTTGACTGGCTTCTATTTACAGAAATTGTAAACCAGTTGAATGCTCTGAGCAGCTTAGATGAAGATCAAGATGACTGCATAAAGCGAGCAAATATGCCTTCAGCTAAATCAGCCAGTTCCTCTGAAGGTCTATGAGCTTTCCTCCTTTCTTTCTGTTTCTGATTGTCTGTATTTACTGTGACCTGTTACCTTTTGACTCCTGTGTGTATTCAGCTGTCAGTTTTATCTCTGTGCTTCCACCCAGCATGATGCTCAGTAATTTGTAGTGCATCCAACAGGTAACAACACGATAGAGAAAGAGCCAGTCTCCTCTACAGCTCCTGTTGTCATCTGATAATGAACAAGAAAGAAAAAGAAAATTAAAAAAAAAATCAAAACAAAACCCCACACCTCGAACCTAAAACATTAGTTGTGCAGTCAGTAATACCTGACCTCTCTAACATGACGAGATGTCCCCTTTCTGATTTTGTGTGCATGTTACATCAAAAATTAAAATTTACTGCTGATAGTTAACATGTATGTAAATAACCAAAAAGAAATCACCACATTTCACTTGTTAGGTATTCTGCAACATTTATTTAATGAAGATATTAGAAGGCTTGCTTAGTAGTCGTTTCTGTTACATAATGTTCTCATTAGCAAATAAAGTTTCATTAATTTCATTTTTTTTCCTCCTTCTTTGGTGTACTTAACTGAAGTGCATTAGCTTAGTTGTGCATTTCATGCCATACCATGGTGCAGTGTTTCGAGGGATCATTGATACAGGGGATTTTTTGAGCTTGAAATATGTTAGATGAGCAGTGTTTATCTATATTAAACCAATATTCCATCTTGTTTGTAGAGCTTATCAATAAGCTTAATTTTCTGGATGAAGAGGAGCAAGACCTGGCCAACTCTAGTACGAACCCTTTTGGTGATCCTGACACAGGAGAATTAAATCCGTTTGGAGACCCTAATGTAGAAGGTAATAGATTTGTTTTACATAACTCAACGCGAATTGCAAACACTTAATGAAACATGATTATTTTTTTTTGGTAGGGCTACAAATGAAAAATGTTATTTTGATTAAATACAATTATTGCATGCAGTACTGAGGTAGCGACAGCAGTGATCCAGTTGCCACTGGAAAATGGATTTATCCTTTGAGTCATAGTCTTATGTGTACTTGCCATTGAGGGCTACCAGCGAAGAGTTGAGCCAGAGACTTTTAGACCTATCAGGTGTGTTACTAGTACTCACCTCATGTGGTATAAATGAGCAACACAATCTGCCAAGAGCCTCTGTTCCATGGATGATGGTTTATGTCAGAACTTCCTTCACTGCAATCTTCACTGCATCACAGCTGTTCTTGGTTAACACTAATCTGTATTATTATAATTTTATTTTCTCTTTCATTCTTTTTTTGCTTTTATGGCTTCTTCAGTTAAGCCTTCTGGCATCATCATGCCTTGCACATGTGGTAGGTGTTAATCCCCTTTCCAGACCGACATGCCCATTCTTGTTCTGTTTGAGTGAGAAGTACAACCCCTGTAAGTTTTTGATCTGATAAGACTTTGGCCATAAGGTCAGAAAGGAGCACTAAGACAGCAGTCATCTCTGCCATCCTCAATTGCATGTCCAGATATGCAGGCCTCCATCTGCTGCCATCAAAAAAAAAAAAAAAAGGTGTATGACTTAGTTTGCAGCTGCTCAAAATACCTATCCATAGTTAATTCCCAAATTTGAAGCTGTACTCAACCCTTGTTCACAGCTCCAAGACTTTTCTTCCCACAGAAAACACCAAGGAACATTTGTCACCTTTGTCCAAACCCCAGGAGCCACTCTGTAATGGCAGTGGAGAACCACCACCCTGAGCAGATACAGCCATGGGATTTGTAATGCCAAGTCTAACGATGCGTTTCTGAGCTGCAGTTTCCACTTGTGGTTACTCTCTCTCTGGACAAGCTGAACGTTTATTCACAACATGGCTTTTCTGCCTTCAGAGTCCATAGAGGCCGATGTGGGTGGTGATCAAAGTCCTGTCATACTTTGGCTGTGGTGTAGTCTCACAGCTTGTATTTCTCAAACAGGGACATTGCACTATCTTCTGTATGTGGCCATTGAAGCCATAAAGCCGGTATCTCGGGCCTCTTCTCCCTCCTATAAAGTTGTTGGGTGTTTCTAGAGCTGCAGAAGTGAGTTGTTTCAGCTTGGTATATACCAACAGATATGGATTAGGTTCTGGTTTAGGAATCTGATTTGGAATCTTTGGCTTCGTTTCCTGTGTGTTTCTCAGCTGTGAATTCCCTTAGGATCACGGAAGCAGGCAGAATAACCAGGGGTATAAAACACCTATTCTCTTCCATCTAGTTTTCCATACAAAACTTGCTCTAAGAGACTCAGCCTATATTCCTTTCTTCCTTCTCTGTTCTGGAAAGCTGCTGTCTTCCAAACCCAGCTTTTCTTTCCTTTCTAATGAGAGAACCTGTTCTGGCAGAAAGCAGCAGGTATTCTGACCACAAAGTATAGGAACTAAGAGTTTGTTGCTTCTCGTCTCACAGACAGGGAGATATAAACTGGTGTTGTTTCTTAGTGCCAGAGTAGCTTGACACCTCATGTCAAGTTCACTATGAGCAGCTTGTATCCAAGACACCAGCCTGCTTATGTTCCCAAAAGATGCCCAATATATGTGGCATATGTTTGTTGGCATCTAGCCTTTAGTACCATCTTCAGTCACAGTCTTGGACGCGTCTCCATTCCTCTGGGTCTGTTCTGTGTACTTGACAGTCTCAGGGGTCAGGCTGTTGGGTCCCCAGAGAAGTCCTATCTACACCCACACAGCTGTGGATAGCAATGCTGAGTTGTTGGGTGTGTGTGTACCAAATATTCCTCCCACACATTGTTGCTATCATGCAGCAGTCAATATACAACATGACAGTGATATTGATAAACAGGGTGTCACTAGATTCTTCCTACTGTGTCATAAGGTGTTTTTTATTTGGGAGGGATGGAGGTTATGTCAGGTTCATGTGACAGCAGTATGTCTTCCTGGAGCACTGAACCACATGGAAGACCTGAGACATTTCAGGCTATTGGACCAAGATTGTGCCACACATCTGGTGTGGCATTTTTAAAGCTTTTACTTTATGATTAGTGGCTCCCCAGGTATTCTTCTAGTCACCTCTGAGAAGTGCTGGCTCTTCCACTCCGGAGCTGTCTTGTCCCTATAATGAACACTGGTTGTGTTCATCTTGCCATGCTTGGCCTTCTTGATGTGTGCCTTTCCTCCACAGAAAGTTGGGGGGTGGCATGGAGGAACAGGACTGAGGCAAATTAGATAAGACAGTTCTGGTCTTCAGCAATAGCAGGAATCTGCTGTGTTTGTCTATGGCTAACTGGATCAGTGCCTCTACGTGGGGAACACCTAGGCCTTACCGTTTGGGGGAGACTTCCTTTTGGTTTGGACTACATATTGAACCTACACAATATTGCAGCCATTCTCACCCTGTTGTCCTGCTGCAGAAGGCTGCTCTCTTTATTTCCCATTTGGCTGCAGGTATATTCCCTCATGGTTTAGGACATTTCTTCTACTTTGAGGCCTCAGTGGAACCTTCATTGGTGCCATCTCTTTTTAAGAAGCTCTTTGAGGCTATACCTGCTTGTTTGCTCTTGTATCCTTCAGTGAATGTGACCTTTTTGGTGGCCACCCCAGCAGCTTGGGAGCATGACAGAAGTTCAGGAGTTTAAGACAGACTTTCTCCTACAGGCTTAAAGAGTCACATTACCTGTTTCACTTGTCTTGTAATCTGCTTAAATCAAGAGATTAACCTTTTATGCATGCAGGGATGAAGTATTTTACTATTCACTACGTGTTAATCTGCTTTATCTTTTTATCTGGACAAGGCAAAATCTTGAATTAGACTTTGTGAAAGTTTGGAGTCTTTCCGTAGAATTTGTTCTGTAGAATTTGCAAGATGTGCAGAGAAGGCATCTGGAGCCTCCTTTCCTGACTACTTGGCCATCAAACGCTAGGAGGCATGATATGCCATTTGGCAGAAATATTCCAGGGATATTCCTACCAGACCCGTAACCTGTGTGCTTAGTGAAAGACTGCTTAGAGTCACCCAGGGTATGAATATATATGTATGGACAGTCACTCAAAGAGAAAGGATAGATACTCGTTTCCTAGATAGGTATTTCTTGTGCCTGTTCACAAACCAGCTACCTCTAGCTTCCTAATCCCATAATCACTTAACCCTGGGAATGCGGGGTGGACAGAAACCAAAGGCATGAGTGCTCCTAGCATCTGAGTGCGCACTCTGGATGCAATGTATGGCAGAGGATCATCTACAAGCTGTCCCTGGATGCTGCCATAGTTTAAAATGTCCTTAGTGTAAATGATCTTATATGCACAGTGGAGTGAACATGCATATGAACAACTCACCTCAAAAAAAATCTTCAGCTGTGCTTCTTGGTTGATGTGTCAGATTGAGGCTTATTCACTCTGTGTCTAGTAGGTCAGCTAGATGTTAGAAATCTGGAAAATTAAAAAAAATCTCTTTGAACAGTGTATCTCAACAGCCTTACACTAGACAACGTGTAGAGGATCACATAAGGACTGCCTTTTGGTTTGTCTTTTAGTCACTTTACAACAGACCTCTAAAATCAGTTAATTTTTGTGCAAAATATTTTACTTGGCAAAGTCAGCGTGTACAACAAACACAAACAGAAAACACCACCACGCTTTCAGTGGTCCAGATGTTTTTTTAATTAGGTGGGGAATGCAAATTTTGAAGTTGCGCGTGACCACTACAAGTTTCCTGCAACACACCTGAGACATGAGGGTAACTATTTGCTGGCACTGCCTCCCCCTTTCATTTAAAACAGCGTTACTTTGCCAATATGTTTCTTTACCTTGTGTGTAGACTTCTGAGCTCTCTGCAACACGTTGTACTGCAAATGAAACCAGTGCTATGATGCAGTACCAAACACGAGTCCTTCTAGGATAGTCTGAAGGAGAGCAGTACAAGAACCAATATAGGGGAAAATGATTACTCTGTCCCTTCTCCTTATATTTCTTAATGAAATCTAATGTGTTGCTGGTGTGAGTATTAATAAAAGTAATAGAAAACCATCAGTGGTTTATAGGGATGCCAGTTGTTATGCTTTCTAGAAGCATTGGGAAGTTACATTTTTGTTCTGTGCTGTTTGTTACGCTGCTCGTATCACCATCGTGACTGTGTGCCTGCCAGTAGCACAGTAAATGGCATAGCTAAATATCGTTCACATGTGGCTTGTTCTTTCATCCTTTGCCAAGGGGAAAGTGGTACGTGTAATGTTTTGGTGCAGGTTTTGTTTGATTTTAAGGGATGTGTCACAATATGTTTGTGTTACAAAAGGCAAGTGGGTTGAAGGGCAGGGTGATTTTTGGAGATCCTCTGGGAACTAGAAGGCTGATTGTGAAGATAAGTAGTGCCAGAGTGATTACTATCACGAACAGTCTTTCTCAGTGGAGTTAGGGCAAGTAATGTTTCCAGACTCTGGCACAAGAGCCGCTGGTGCTTCTGCTGTAGTAATACTTATACCTCTCCTCATGTCACTCCCATCCCTGTGGCTTTATTACTTAACCATGCAAAATTATTGTGGGTTTGACCCTTGGAGTGCCAAACTGCAAGTATCTTTTTATTTATTTTTTTGTATATCAGTGTAGAGAACTGCAATTAAAAAAAAAAAAAAATCAGTTCCATAGACTGGAGTCCTGTGTTTTCAGGATTAATGGTTAGGGGGGAGCAGGGGAATCTCTGTTGACTCCTTAGTGTAAAATCAGCTTGAAGAGGGAAGTAAGTCCCTCTTAAACTATTGTAGGCTCAGCCCCCCAAAATGCGCTTCCCAACATCATTAAGTCCTTGTGAAAATATGAATGTCTTTGTAACAGGGAAAGTAACAGTGGCTGTGGCTTTAAGAGCAGTGTTGTTGAGTCACTGTCCTAGCAATTTAGTTTGTTATAGAGAGGCTCACAAAGTGATGACCAACGCTTGACATAAAAGATACTCCTAAAGTGTTTCAGAAACCCCATGGGAGATAGCCTGGTTTGGTTCAGGTGGGGACCCTCCGTCCTGTGGGGACATTGAAGGAAGCACAGGGGGCAAAAAAAAAAAAAAAAAGTATCCTGAATGACAAGAGGAAAGAGAATGAGCAGCCAAGTTAAGTGGGTTCTGGTTGAACCCCTACAAAATTCTGTCTATAAGCGTGGCTTGAAAATGGTATTTTTAGAAGCTTTTTTAATTTTAGCCTGTGTGTAGGATTTTGTGAAATCTTTTTATTAACAACAAGCCAGAGGTCTCTTAGGCACTGATCTGCAGTGCTGCACCTGTAAGGCCAAACCTGTAGTTACTGTTGAGCCAATGAACAAGAGAAAGAATTTTGTCCTAGTTAGGGTTACAGCACTTGATCCATCGTATTGAAATAGAAAGAATTGCAAAAACCATTTGCATTGCCCCTTAAAATTTATCAGATTTAAACAAGGATTTAACTCGTCATTTCCCAGGAGACACTTAAAAGCAAATTAAAAAAAAAAAGCTTACAGTATAGCTTTAAGAGGTTGTTTCCCTGAATGTTTTTAACTTCAGGAAATATTACTGACATTCCTTCTAGTAATATTTGTTTGACTGCTGCTTGTGAGTTATCAGCAAATTTTGCTCAGATATGATAATGTGTATTTATCAACAGATTCATGTGCAGGTGCAGCGATCCATCATATGGAGTTGCAGACACAGGTATTGATGGTTGTGTACTCTCTTGGTAAAATATTTTAAGATTTGAGCAAAGTTTAAAGTAGCAAAAGTTTTGGTTAAAACGTCACTAAGTTGCACCGTTTGAACAAGACATACATTAATAATTTTTCTGCATTTCATTGTTACTTCTGCTTTTTATATGAAACTGTCTTTTGAGGGCAGATGTCAAAAGCATTTCTGCTTGGCCTGGTTCATCAAATCCCTAAACGTGTGGGTAACATTTGAGTAGCATCCTGGCTACCATGAGCTTCAAGTCATGCGTATCTGTGCACTAAGGGTAGGATTTGGCTCACCTGATTCTAGACATTAACATAGTTTGAACATAGTGTAAGCTTTAACTGTAAAGGGGTCTAGCTCAGCTGCAGATACCTACACTGAGGCCATTTCAGGGTAAGCAGGATGAAACTATTGCTTGACATGACCACCTGCACTGGACACTAGAGTGATGTAAGTAAGCCAGTATAGAACGCCTTTTCCAATTTTGGCTGCAAAAAAATGAAGAAATACATTTAAAATATTGGGCTCTGCTGTGACATATTTAGCCTGGAACACTGTCAAAGGAATCTTGCTTGATTTAATCATATTTGTCTTTTTAAGAATTTCTGCCTTGAATGATTTCTTTCCCTTCTCAGTTAAACTGTAGACCTTCAATATTATTTTATTGTGGCTTTCTCTGAAATATCTTTCTTATAAGGATGTGAACTGATGAACAAATCACCACAGATAGGGTGCGAGCTTAATATGCATCACCTACTGTGCAGTAACTACCTTTTCTCCCAGCATAAGTGCCCAGGAGTCTGTTCCCTTTTATTAAGGGATAAGCATGTTGTACTTACTCTGGGGTAGGGGCGAACACATACACTACAGCTGACATATGGCAAATACACCCCCTGATTTATCCTGCAGTAGTTTGACTATATGCCCATCTCCTAAGACATAGCTGAAATGTTGCTTTATGATATTCAGGTGAGGCTTAACCTGTTTAAACAGTAACAGAACCCCTTGTATAGGTTTAGCTAAGATTATTATTGCAACCCTAACTTTTTTTTTTACTGTTAGTCACAACGATTTTGATTAATTAGTTCTTTTTAGAACACATTTTAGTAAAGACTGGCCATTAGGCATAATAGTAACTTGTTGTTATCTCACTTTACCTTCAACTCATCCTATTTCAGTGTAGTGTCTGATTTACACTTCTCAGTCTGCTTTTTGACTCCAGTTTTTTACTTGACAGTTGTATTCTGAATTTGAAGTTAAATATAAGAACTTGTGAGATACATAAGATACAAGTTTAAGTGCCATATATGTTGCTTCTTAATGCTAAGTTGGTTCAGGCTCCTGAGGGAATGAGAAACTGCAAAGCTCACCTGGAATTAATTTTTTTTTTAATGTAATTTTCTAAATAATCACCATAGGAAAATCCCACAGGCACAAGTACCATGCATAGTTGTAAGTCTGTCCAGTTAAAACCTGCAGTATTGTCATTTTTTTCTGTTATTCTAGCCAAACCCATTTGGTTTCTACTTTCTGATGGTAGAGCAAATAATCCATCACTTCAGAAACAGACTCTTAGAAATAGTCTAGAAGACAGTATGATAACATAGTGTTGATGTTCAGATGTGAAGAACCAAGAAGAAGAATAGCACTAGAAATGTGAGGTGGTTCTTAAAATGAAATTTTTCCAGTCCCTGGTAGGTCTCAATTGTTCTGAGAAGGACTAAAGCCCTTCCTGCCCTGATCTTAGTTCAATGATAGGCGAAGCTGCTACCTGCATCTGGGGACCACATTCCTGTCTGACTAGGAGTGGCTCTTGTTCAAACTGTAGATTATAGTCAGTCACACTACATGGGGTGGGGCTTTCTGTCACCTTGGGCTGTGCTGATGGCTGGACACAGGGAGAACTGGCATTTTGCTGGCAGAGTAGAGAATACTGACGTTTCCTAGCAATTCACCAGGATTAGCAACTTCAGTACTTTGCCCATCCAAGACCAAGCAACTACAGCGCTGTTTCTTTCACTACCCTTTCCCTTTGTATAGTTGTGTGACTAGTGACTTTGTCTTCCCAAGTATTTAGTGACAAACATGCTTGGAACTCCATCTTTTTTCATTTTTCTGAGCCTTGCTACAAATAATATTTAAGGTTTTTCTTTTAAAGCTAAGAGGTATGTTTTGTTCAATTTAGTAGCAATACAGCTGAAAAAGAAATGCTTTTTGTTAAGAATAACGTGGGAGTGGTTATTGACAATCCAGTGTTGATAACACTGCATTGAAGTTCTTATTTGCATAGATTTTTGAAAGTACGTCATAGCCGATATTAAACTGAGCTTCTGATCGTTTGATGCTGCGGGAAGAGTAAGATGAATGTTACTAAGTGTCTTTGTGAAGAAATGTTGTATTGCTGTATGAGGATTTGTATTGTTCAATATCCAGCAGCGATTTGCTTTTGTGTAATGTTCTTTCTGTAGTGTCTCTTACTCTAAAGAACTGCATGCGGCTCCAGGTTGCTAATCACTTTTTGTTGTGCAGCCCAAATAATAGACGAGTAATTTAATTATCTGTCTCTTTAGGGTTAATTTAAATTCATTTTTACCGTGAGACTATGTATTGTTACCAGGAGCAGTTAGCAGTGAAAATATGTATGTTTTGAAATGTAATTCCTGATCATACCCAATAACTGATTTTTGGTTCAGTCATTTTAAGAAATGAAAAGACCACCTACTTACTATTGCCATTTTTAATATCCGGTAAAAGTAATTTTATTGTAAATACAAGATTTTTTTTTTTTTTTTACTGAAAGCTCAAATAAATAATTAAGAACATTTTGTTAGGATACAAACTGGCTAATAGCTTGGGAAAATGTTTTAAAATCTGTTGCAATACCATTTATATGACAAATAAGAAAACTAGTAACTAATTAGGTTGAAAGAGCTTTAGTAAGTGAGAAAATGAAACCTATTCAATATACTCTAGATAAAATGACCTTTTGAAAGACCTATTTTTGAATAAGCAAGGTTACTCTGTAAATAAATAAAGTGTGAAAAGTCATGTAAGGCTAGGACTCTATGTATTGAGAGTTAAGAAGCAGATCTTTTCATAAGCCTTCAAAATATGAAAGACTGATAAAATGGTTTCAATTTCTTTCAATGTTAAATCTGTTTAATCATTTTTTGTTATTTGGTAGAACCAGACACTGAAATAGCTTCATCTTCAAAGCCAGAAGAAGTTTTCTATGCTGACAGTTACAATCCCTTCAAGGATGAAGATGCCCCAGAGTACTTGAACCCATTTGATGAGCCAGATCCTGAGCCTGAAACGTTTGTAACTGTAAGAGATTCTCCTCCACAACCCACAAAAAGGAAAAATGTCGGACCAGTGGATATGAGCAAATACCTCTATGCAGATAACTCTAAAGCTGAAGAGGAAGAGCTAGATGAGTAAGTATGATTCTTCATCTTTCAGCAGCTTTGGAAGCATTACTGAGATCCTGCCTTAATCTTGAGGTGTATTCGGTTCAACCGTGATGATCCTTAATCACCTCCTTAGGACAGACTGATCCTTCGGCAGCTCAGCAGCAGGAAATACCATATCCCCAAGTCATGCTGTTCAGCTGAACGTGATCAGTTGGGAAACTTTTCTTTGCCTCATTGATAGCAAATTACTTGATAAGGAACAAGTCTGTGTACCTTTTTGGTACTTCATGTCCTGACGATTGCAAACGAGCCAAAAATTAAGGAGCGGCAGAGCTTGGTCCTTCCTGTCCTTTTTGCCATTATTTTTACTACACAACATAATAAGAATTTTTGTTAACGATAATGGAAAGTTTGTCTTATATTGGTGCAGTATGTGAAAAGGAAGACTGTTTTGCAGTCTGCATAGCACATTTTTGGGAGTCTCATAAAACTGAATCTCTATATGGGAAAGATACACCATATGCACTTTCTTGGGTTGTTTCTGTTATCATAATCACACAGATAACTTTTATAAACTCATACTGACTGCCTTGTATTACAGTATAGAAACCTAACAAAGAATGAGAGCTTTTTGCAATAGCTGTGCAGCTTGGGAGGTTTGAAGGTATATACTTACTCCTTGTTTGTGGTCATTAGTCACCAACCACACCACTCATGAGGCAGTTTATGGTGATTACTTACAAGCAATTTTATGACAACTGTAATTAACATTGTTTTACATGATTTAATGAGATTTATCATGGCATGATATTTGCATTGCTTTCCTATTTAATATTAATACAGCTGTCATATCGTCATCTTTATGTTTCTCTGTTTATAGCTGTGTTCTAGGAAATTGAAGGATTTCCATGCACTCTTACAGAAATATCTGAAGGACCCTGAAGGATCTTTTCCTTTTAAAGCTCTGTGGCCATGGATTTGTTGTTGTTTGTTATGTGGGGGAAAAAAATAAAACTGGGCATTGAGGAATGATGTCTCTGCCAGCTCCATTCATCAGGGCAGCACCTGAACAAACAGCACTGGCTGCTGCGTCTTCAGAGCACAGTGTGATCACACTGTTGACCATCACACCAGGCATCCCTGATCATTCACTGATCACTAGAATCCACAGAGAGGAAAAATATGTATATTTTACACCCAAAAAGATATGGGTAGAGAGGACAGAAAGGACTGAGGAGAAGAGCAGAAAGAGCAAAAGCTAGATGGATGGACATGTGAAGAATTTTCTCCGTTTTATATTTATACTCCTGTTTCCACCCTAAGCAAATCTTTGCCAAATGGGCTTACAGCAGTGTTGTAGCAAGCAGCCTTGTTTTTTGCGTACTGAACTGTAGATTTCTCTAGTCCTTTGTTTACAACAGCCTTCTTATTTTAATGACCCCATTTGCTTCATTCCTTTTGGGTTTTTTAGGGATAAAAATAAACTCCTCATAGGTGGATTCTACTTGAACATAAATCTGATCATAATTTTCATTATGAAAGCAATGGAAAGATGGAAGGATAGGAGTCAAAAAGCATTGTAAAATAGTTTTTTACATCTTTTATATAAGCTTTTTGGTCCTGAACCCCCAAAGTAGCTTCCTCTCCACATTTTCCTCCAAGGTTTCCTCCAGGAGTGCCATGTCATTGAAATACATGTGGAGACCATTTGCTAAATGTATTGGGGAGAAGTGTGGCAAGGAGAACCTTTGAATCTTTATACTGAAATGCTCTGGAGGAATAAGTGTAATAATAAAACTCCAGTCTAGGAACACAGGACTTGTGATACTACACCTACAAGCACTCTTACACCTTACCTCATGTCAGTGATTTTCAAATTTTTCAGTAGCAGGTTTCTGCTAAGGTGTGGTACGGTGAGCACCAGCGGGAAGATTTTCATAGGCAGTGCCAGTTGGTAGTTTTTCTGTGCCCTAAATCATGAGGCTCTATGTCCACATGCATATTGTTTCTTATCTAATGTGACTAGTGATGCTTTTATTATCTACATAAGTGGCTAATCTTCTTCCAAATCCTATTAAAGTCTAGACTTAAGTGTCAATTTGTGGCAGAGAGTTCCACAAAAAACCAAGATCTTATATGAAATGGATTTCCTTTTATTGATTGCAAATAAGTTACCTTTCCAATCCCATACACTATCTCTTCTGCTGGCTTATCAAAACAACAATTAGTAGTGTTGGATTTATCTGCTGTAAACAGTTGCTATGTTGTGTCTCTCTAGCGTGTTCACCATTACTTGTCACTTGTCTAAGTTAAATGGTGCTAACTTTTTCAATCTCTCTTCATACAGAAGTATCTTCATCTGTCTAATAGTTTTCACCGCACGCGTCTGGACCCTGTTATTTCTTCTGCTGTGTATCTATTTTAAGATGTGTTGACTTGGCCTGAGCAGTGTATTCAAGACAAGGCTGAACCACTGAGTCATAGCACGGCATTAGAAAACTTTGCATATTTTCAACCTCTCTCCTGTCTTTTGTTTTGGGTAGTTTTTAGTCATTTTTTTATTACCTCTAGTGCTTTCCCCTGGGATGGTTTTGAACCTGATAGATGGAAGGCATGAGAAACAAGGCTCCTGAAAGACATTTACTGTTTCTCAGGAAATACATTGTATTTTTATCCCTGCACCTTAAATGTTTCATTGGAGTTCATTTAATGCACCACTTGGCATTTTCCTCTTGTATGTTGTGTGAAATGCAATGATGCGTCATGGGAACATGGACTCATCAGTTGGTAGCAGGACCCTTGTCCCACTATACTCTGGCAGATCCCTAGTTCTGATTCTGGATTTGGAGCTTACAGAGTGCCCCAAAAGTTGAACTCTGGCTCCACTTTTGTAACAGACTCCCCTTGTAATCTTGGAAAAGGTACTTACTCTCACTGTGCCTCTGTGAGGGATTTACCTTGGGTAATTGGCTTAATTGAAACATATTTCACTAATGGTTGTGAAGATAACATAAGATTTCACAACACACATAAGCAAAGCATAGTCATAAGCATAATGAGGCGTTGCACGGTACAGAGGGACTTAGATGATCCAGTACATACATTCTGCTGTAAAACTATGCTCTCACAACATACTTGCTCTGGCTAAATTCTCATACCTAGCTAGAGATAAGGAACACATTTTCCTTTTGTTAGGTTTGTTCATTTGAATGTTAGTGTAAAATTCTGCTTTTGCTTTGTTGAATTTTATACATTAAAATCAAAATGGTAGGTGGCTACCTGTTAATAAAGGCCGGCACACCTTGCTAAGCTAAGCTTAATTATTTGAAAAAGCATAGCCCACAACTACTTAAAGTATAATGCTTTCAACCCTAGTACTTCTGATCGGTAATATTGCCTGATCTTTTAACCCTACCACACTGACAGCTTTGGTTTTCCTCCTCAATAAAATGTAGATTTTTTTTTTTCCAGTTAACCAGTAATGCTGATCAAAGTTATTTTTAAATTGATCAGAATAAAACTTGCTTTCAGATATTATTGGGCTCTGTGGCTTCTTATGTCGTTAATCGTTGCATGGCTTAGAATAATGCTGTCTAATTGGAAAGACGATCAAGTTGCCACCTATTGAAGCTGCCTGTTGCGCAAGAAGCCACAAGCCACCACACTGCCAGTGACAGCTTAATGCCAGGTAGTTTATCAGGTTTGTTTGGGTTTTTTTTTTTAATTTTGTGGTGGACAGTCTAGTACTACTTTAGGCAAATCATATTGTGTGGATCCATTAAAAAACTTCACAGAAATAAAAAGTATGAGCTGAACTGACCTCAGAGAGAAGTGCTTTAATATTTTTCAGCTAAGGCTTTTTTTAGCCAGACTTTTCCCGTGCTTAGTTTCTTGTATAGCCACGTGGAAGCTGTTGGACCAAACTCTGCTGCATAGATCAGACCCTCATGACTTCAAAATCTGTAACCTCTTTGGGCAAGAACCATTTAGGGCTTTTTTTTCTGTATTAAACTTAGTTTTTCAAAAATCTTTCTTAATATTTGTAAGACCAATTAAAAGCAATGCAGAGGGGAAGGTGGAAAGTAGTGCATGTGTGTTCTGCCCATGCTATGACCAAAATGTGAGGGTTTAGTGTGGCTTTCAAGAAAGTTCTTATCTAGGAAAAAAAGGCAGTCACTTGTCTCCTTATAGCACTTCCTTCTGGTGCACACAGTAGGGTACAATTCTTCAGTATTACACATGAAGCGCAGACAATTATGGAGCATAAAAACTCAAAAGATAGTTCTTCCAAACTTTTTTACTCTCGTTGATAAGGTGTGTTTGGTTGTTTGTTTTTTTTCTTTTCTCACACCAAATTAATTTTAACACCTTACAAAGACACATTTATAATTCCAAGTACACAGAGGTAAATTATTTTCCTGCCAAACATGCTGTGTCTGTTGGCTGTTCAGAAGGCTAACTTGAACTAATGGAAACCTGGTGCTCTCTTGCTGCATTGTTATTCGGCCTTTCTCTCTTTTATCTTCATATTCACCTCCATTTGAACTTTCTGGTGTCTGAAGACAGCTGAGCTGGGCTGTCAGCTAAATTAGAGCTACTGACAGCCAGGCGCATTCTCCACTCCAGCCTGAATACCTTCCTGTGTCTACTTCCTCCCATAGAAAACACCCTTCCATTCCTATTTAACTCATTATTTTGGTGTTGCCTTTAGTTTTGATTGCACTGATGGCTTTGCACTTGATGGCCAGCAAAGTGGGAACACCTGAAAGTTGCCTTCAGTCAGCAGATGAGTCGTTTTAGTGTTAGTCTTTCCTTTCACTTCAGTAACTAGATTTAGATCGCTTTCTCTATAGCAAGCAGCGGCAGATTCTCCAAAAGGTCTGGATGTTTTAGGCCCAGTCTTCCCTTCTGTGCTTCAGTGAACTTTGCCTTTCAGAAGCAGACTTAGTTTTCTGTGGTGTGGATTATTGATTCCTTATTTTTTCTCAATGAAAAGAGGGTGATGGTAAACTGCATTAAAATACATTCTACAATCAGTCTATGAAACTGAAAGACGTATTTTCATACTAAAAGTACACAAAAACTGAGAGAAATTTGGTGTTGTGTGAGAGGAAACTGGATGAATAGTTTTTTTGCTTCTGCCCAAATTTTGCTGTTGTACTTCTTCAAAAGCAGTGTGTACTAGCTCATGGCGCTTATCCTGAGAGGAAATTTGTAAATGGATCTAGCTAGGTAGGCTCTTGTCCTACGCTGTATGCTATGTTGTTTCCATCTAGAGTTGAATTCAAGGGACCAAGGTTATTCATCATGATTGGTTATGCTTTATATAACCGTACGCAGATAGATCTGTGGGAATTGCGGTGACTTAGTTACATAAACATAGTTTGAGATATATGATAAATATATCTCTCAGGGGAAGTATGGACCAGAAAAGAATTGATTAACATGTTGATTCTGTAATAAACCATCCAGTTTTGGATTGCATAATATGAAAAGCGAATAAAAGAATTCAGTGCAAAGAAGGTTCCTGTAAGTATCCTTAGCAGAATACAAAATTGCTGGCTCTTCTAAGTGCATAGTAGAAGCCATTATTTGATGTATTATTGTTTGATATTTGGTGTATCAAACTAATAGATGGAATTTGGAAATGCTGTGGAAGTATTTACTTAGGGTGGAACAAGTGTGGAGTTGGAACGTGAACACCACAGTTAATAATTATTCTTTGGACTGCACACACTTGGTGCAAGATGTTTGTAGTGTTTCTTAAATGAGGTTTAGTTACAAAAAGGACTTTCAAAATAGACAGGTGAAGGCTGCTGGTATCTGTAGAGAGGTATGCACAAGTCAGCTGTTGTTTTCTTACACTATTCTCTTATCCAGAGAGTGTCCTTGAAATGGCGTGGTGCCTGTATGCTGCAGAGTTTTAAATACACTCCGTGTGAATTGTGTACTTGTGAAGGCCAAAATTTTCAGACTTGGACAGCCGAGAGCGAGGCCTCTAAAGCGGTGTTGAGGCATGCATGTGAAAGTGGCTGGATTCTTCACTCTGTTCTAATGAAACATTCTTAGTTCTGTTCATTAGAATATTAAACGGCCAGCAACTTCACTCAGATTTGTTGACATTGAGCTTGTCTGTAAATCAGATCACTCCTTGACAGATAGCTAAGTATAAGTCCAGAGTTAGATTTATGCAATTGATAAAACTTATGTAATTTACAGGACTTTATAAATTTATGGAAGTTCTGACCTAGTACAGTTTTAACTGTTATAACTCACTTTTCAGTTGCATGAAAAAATGGTATCTAAAAGCATGTAAAGGCAAAACATATTCGTACATGGCATAATAAAAGCATTTTAGTCGTCTTCTCTAAAGAGGTCTGATTTTCAGTTTTAATTCCAAGGAGATATCAAAGAAATGTTTCCCTTCTTTTAATTAGATCAAATCCGTTTTATGAACCAAAATCAAGCCCTGGTTTAGTTAAAGTTGCTCCACTGCAAGAATCAGAAAAGAAGATGAAAAGAAAGGCTCCTGAACCACCAAACCTCTTGCCAAAGACAGAGACAGGCATGAGTGAGAACATCTCAGCTGTTCCTGCAACGAGGGAGCTTTCTTCTTCTCCTAAGGTAGGTTTTTTGTACCAAAATTTCATCTTTGTTATTAACCGTAACTTTGTATTGTAGACATCCTATTTATTTCTGCAGGCCATCTTGAAAGCTTGGCTTATACTTAATAAGGTGTTGGCTCATCTCTATTCACTTGCTGTTCATAGGGAGAGAGCAGCAGTGGGAGCTTCTATTTTTTCTTTAAGGATTTAATGACAACAGTAACAGCAACTGCAGTTTCAAAGAAAAGAGTCTTCTAGTAACAAATGTTACAAGACAGCTGGATATGCCATCGAGAAGGAAGAAAATTGTGTTGAACAATACTCTGTCTTGATCTATTGTAATGACGTTAAGCCTTGCCCCTGTTGAAGAGTCTGTCTCCACATTTCTATCGTAAATCTGGGTTTTAAGAGCTTCATACTGGGTAGTGTTTATTTGTATGGGGATTTATATATGTCCAATTCCGTAGGTATGTCAAAGTAATTTGAAAATAAAGGTCTACTTTAAATCAGATCAACTGTTTATGAGGAATGTCTGGACTAAGCGTACTTATATATGCACATACATCTCTGTCAAGGGAAAATATGAGTTAACCTCTGTTGAAGAGGGCAGTGTGAGGCCTATGTATTAGCATTACAAGAACTAACTTCTGTTGGTGTGAATTTCAACTCCAGTGTTTCAGCAGTCAGCACCACTTGTGATTTTTTTTTTTAAAAAACAAAATAAGCATTTAATAGTACATGTTAATGGGCCCTTCTTAAAAATGAATTTGATACATGCTGACGGCTTGTTTTGAAGGATAGGAAGATGAGGGCAGAACGCTTCCTTCCACCATATCTCACCCAATATATGCATGTTATCAACTGTTTTGGCTTATATTGGAGCTGCTGTACTTTAAAAATTGAATGAAACTACTTGTCATACCTATCAATTCATTGCTTAATTACTCAGCCAGATTGCTGACATGTCCTTGTCCGTTCAGTCTCTGATCTTGCAGTCGTTTTACCACTCAGTCAGGGTTAAGAGTATGAGACTAGAAATCTAATCTGTGTCTGCTTACAACAAAGCGAAACAACATAGTAAGGCCAAGAGCACAATTCACAAGTTACTCTTAATATGCAGAACCACAACCAGGGAAATATGAAATCAAAGCATAGCAGTTTCATAATGCTCTGAGATGTAGTTTGATCACTGGAGTTTCTGTATGAAAAATATTGCACGTTATGTGATTTCTGGTGGAGTCTGGCCCTCGGGTCAAAGCGAAGTGGCAGAGGTAAAGCATTCGACTCTGCCTGGTAGTACCAGAGACATCTGTAGAGCAGATTTTATCAGGTTGCTTGATTGAGGTTGTGCTCCCATTGCTCATTGAGAGGTTTTTTTACAGGTCTGCATTCAAGGAAATACGTCTCTGCTTTACTTTGTCTTCGTTGTGCTGAAATAATGTATTACTGCTGTGTTTGATGCAGTTTTTGTCTACTCCAGACTAATTGTCAGAAAGCTGGAATTGATCAAGAAAAGATACAGGTTTGGACTCTGAGAAGACTGTGCTGTTATGAACACAGTCAGGTAGTTCCTGCTTTTATGCAGGGTGTTGGTTTCCAAATATTTTGCTGCCTGCCTGCTTGCAGCCCACCTCTCTGCCACTGATGCTGAGGCACAGCTGAGATCAGCAAAGGTCCAAGTACTGAAATTTTGATATTCATTAGGGGCAAGGGGGAAGATGGATCCCTATGCTGACTCTCTCTGGTGCAGAAAGCTTTAATTTTTTTACGGGTTTTCAGATGATACAAGAGCAGTAGGGAAGGTTCCAAAGCAGATGCAGTGCCCTCGTTTATTATATTACAGCTAGAGTGGAAAGTTTCACTGACTGGGTGTGTTAACATATTGTATAGTCACTTGCAATTCAGAAAGCTTTCTGTGGGCACACTCTTTTTTTCTGTGCGTGAATTGTTTTGCTCTAAGGTGATCTAATAACGTTAGATCAAAAGCACTTTACTTGGAATGCTTCTTGAAATTTGGAAAAGTACTGGCATTTAAAAGAAAAGAAAATTAAACAATTTCCTCACACCACAGTACAAAATAGTGCCCAGGTAGGACTTGAACTGTTGGCACAAATAACTTATTTGTTTATTGCTCAATAATGGTGACAACGTTTAGCAACTCTGAAAAACCTGCCATCAAAAGGTATAGGCGCTATACAAACATGAACTTAGCACACGCCCTTACGTAGGAGGAATAGTTCCATGGAGGTAAACTTAGGTGAAGGGAGGTGAAATAATGTATCTTATTCAGTGTTTTGCCCGAGTTTGCTGTTCACAGAAAGTCTCTGCTACAACTCTGACCAGTACATAAGTGTCCTGACATGTTCAATTCCCTGTCTTGGTTGTCTTCATAGGAAATGGCTGTGGAGCAGAAATGTTGATCTTTAGACTACAGAAACACACTGTTAATATTAGAACTTTAGAGTTTAAGGAAGACGACTCCAAAATGCTTCTGCAAATCTTTGGCAGAGTATTTGGGAGCTTGTTTTTCTTTCACATGTTAGTGGTGTTCATCACACTTGCTGAACACAAATACAAATGCTTTTATTTACAGCTATATATCAGCAAGTTCATTGAGTGGAAATTGCTCATGAAAGAGTATTTGACACATGACAGATTCCTACTCAAGATACAGGTTCCAAATACTTGAAATTTTGTTACTGTATTCAAAAAAAACATTTAGATGTTGAAAATAGTAGTGAAGTTCCTAGGAATTTAAATACCAATTTAAAAGTAGGGCAAGAAAGGTTGGTATTTTCCTAAGTATACACCCAAAAATCAAATCCCTAGGGTATGGCTGGACACCAGAATTTCTTCATGCAGCATTCAGCTGCAATGAGCCTTCTAGCATTGGCATTGCGGGTAGAGGAACACTTCCACAGAAGTGCAAATGTATTCACTGTTGAAACATCATAGCCTGAATCCAACATTTTACCATTACCCAAGTATGGTGGAAGGTGTTTCTTGCCTGAGGGATATCTGGCTTCCCACACATGATTTTTTGTGTGTGTGTGTGTGCGTATGTGTGTTCTTCATTTATAACAGCGGTGTCTATGGTAATGAAAGATAAGAATAAAACAATGAATTTTTAGCAGTCAGCAGTCTTGGATATGTCTTCTTTGAGAACAGACTTAAGCTAATGTATCTATGTGAATTGTAAAAGGCTTTCTTTTAAGGGAGTTGTACGGTCTTTAGCAGCTGAATACTATTTCTAGATTTTCCTGGAATTATATCCACAATTAATTACGCCTGTTACTCCTGATACCATAAAAATCAAGCTGCTTCTAGTTCCTTTGTTCAGAGATGTATGTTGAAAACAAAATTCTGATAATTCTATTCAAGAAGATAATTTTGTGTCAAAGTTTCATGTAAAACTAGGCAGAAACTTACAGAAAGCATCTTATCTGGTGGTATCAGCATCATGCCTGGTTTCCCTAAGATGAAGAGGGTACTCCAGGGTGGAACTTGTTCAAGAACTCAATGATCAGTGAAGACGGAACGCGAAACTAATAAACAGGCATTAAGGGACCTCTGTAGGTCATCTGGTCCAACCCCCCCTGCTCAAGCAAGGCCACTTAGATCCAGTTGCCCAGGACTGTGTCCAGACAGCTTCTGAATATCTCCAATATTCATCTGGTCTTGCCTTGCACTGCTTCCCTGAGCAGTCAGTTAATTGGAGTAGCAAACCCTTTCCAAGCCTCTTTAGTGTCTTCCCTTTGATCAGGCCCTTCTGATCATTCAGAGATTCTCCATGTCATCTCTATTAGTGAGGAAGGGGTAGTTATCTGTCAGAGATAAGGCAGGCTCTAGCTCTCCATAAAGGTCCAGCCAGCTCTTGGCCCCATAGTATTAGCTCAGTGTTTGCTATATCTGGGTTGGGAGGAAGTTTTGCTTTACTTTGCTATACTTAAAGGAGTATCTTAATTCTCTCCTGTCTTCCTTTGCATGTCTCCTCTAAACTAATCTGAGTCATCAGAGAGAAGTTAAAAATGCAAAGTCTGAAAGCCTGGAATTATCCCATAGTTAATAATCTCAAATGGCTTGAAGACTATGGTGTGCTGGCTATATTTAGGTGAGTCTGACAAACAAACTGCACACCTGTAATTAAGCTCTTCAGTCATCAACCTGCTACAGTGCTGTCAAGCCCAACAGAAGCCTTGTTGGGCTTGTTACCATCATACGTGTGTTACTGTGCTTGACATGGTTTGAATAAACAAGTTCTGCCTTTCACAGATGTGATGGAGACTTTAGGTTTCTTCCACTTGTTGACTTTGTGGAAAAAATTGAACAAAGTTCAGGCTCAAAAAGTGGTATCAGACCAGTGCATACCATGCGTATCAGCACCCATCATTGCTTTAGCTGATTAAAAACTATACATACCAACTTCAACTGGCTGAAATCTCAGCCAGTCTCAGTATCTCTTATCTTCCCTGCGTTATGTTGAGTTTATTGAAAGTAAGATCCAGGTATCACTTCCAGAGTCGGCAATGGTATCCCATAGTAGAGTAGCTGAAGTCATGTGTCTGCACAATCACAGATTTTATTGCTTTTGTGAGAATTAGGGGGCTACTGCATTTATGTGGGAGGTAAAGAATTGTTTACTAGGGAACAGGAGGAAGCAGGTAATCACCCTCAACTGCAGAGTTATTTTTAAGTGTTAAAAGAAAATACCTTCTGCGCTGGATTGGCATTACTTATTCACTCTTTGGAAGGATAGTGTATACCCTTCTCTTCAGGAAACCATTCCAAGAAGGGCTTTTCCTATTACATGGTAGTTTCAGTTTGTTGCCAGACTGCAGCCAAGGCTCATGTTGATGGCTCGTGAATCCATCAGGTTTCTGGAATACTGCAGTTGCCATTAACCTACTGAAAGTCAACAGGTGTGTTATGTTTGGTGACTCCAGCTTGGTGTCACATCCTTTTCTCCAGTCCTCAGGGTCTGGAAACCTGTGTTCATTAGACACATGCTTTACAGAGTGG